AGTTGGGGTCACTTGTGTGGCTCTATTCAGCTAGCAATTCAACTAAGACTAGAATGCCCTTGATAACTGTCTGGCACTTCAGCTGCAGTGGCCAGGATAGCTAGGAGCCAGCCAGGCTTCTCTCTGTATAGGTCATTCATTTTGTTGTCTAGCTCAAGCTTCTTTACATGGTGGCTAGATCCCAAGAGTAAAAATGGAAGCCACTAGAGGTAGCAGCGAGGTGCAGATATGGCACAAAGTTACTTCCACTGCATTCTGTTGGTCACAACAAAGTTACATCAGTAGAAGGGGAGGGAAAGGGGAAGTACTAGAGACTGAATTAAAACAAATTATATTCCATGCTTTTATAATTATGTCAAAATGAATCCTATTTCATGTATAACTAAAAATGACCAATTAAAAAAAGGAAGGAAAAAAAAAAGCAAGTTACAAACCATCCCAAATTCAGGAGGACAAAAAGTAGGCTCTACATCTTAATGGGAGGAGTTGTTGGTGTCTATCTTTGTAGACAGTCAACAAAAAGCTCTTAATAAATTCAGATTTTTTTTTTTTTTGGTAGTTGTAGATGGACAGTGTGCCTTTGTTTTATTCATTTCCATATATATATGGAATATATATATAAGTTTTTTTAAGTGGACACAATATCTTTAATTTACATTTATGTGGTGCTGAGGATCAAACTCAGTGCCTCAACCCCAGCCCTCCTTTACTTTTATGTGGTGCTGAGGATCAAACCCAGGGCCTCAAACATGTTAGGCAAGCACTCTGCCACTGAGCCACAGACCCAGCCCAGATCTTACTTCTTATACTTACCAAACCTTCAGAATTTTGTTGAAACTGGCAATTAGCAGGAAAGAAGTTTGTTGTAGTTTCTACTCAGGATGGAGGGGAGGGAGATAAATATTATCATGTAGTAGTTATTAAGTGAATTCTACCCCTCTGCCACAGATCTCCGTTACTAGTCCTCTGCATGAAATACTTGTAACTGAACGTTGATTTGCCTTGTTACACTTAATCAAAAAGGGTGTTTATTGTATACCACTTATGTATAAGAGCCTGTCTTGAACATTGAATTGGAAATGCAAAAAAAGTGAAGCTTTTTTGTTTACTGAGATTTCCACTTTTAGTTGCTATGAACAAAGGTTGGGATTTCTTCTCTGTAACTTCAGAAGTAGTAAGTGTGAAATTGTCAACCAAAATTAGAGGGCAATCCAAAGGGACTCTGGTACTAGTGAGGCTTAGAATCCCACTAGTGGCTCATAGTATCCCCAGTAAAGTAGTAAGCATTGGACAGGTATTGTTATATTCTTTAGCAGTCATATATGTTGGATTTTGTCACGTGATTTCTAGACTTTTGCATTGACATATTTTTTGTGTATCTGTTCCTCCAACATCAGTAAGGTTTTTAAATTTGAGGATTTTACACTAAGATCTCACTTTTTCCCGTGGAATCTATATCTCTTCTTTGGAAACAACTTTACGGTCATGTTTGTCCTTTATAAAAATGTTTATCACCGGTGTAGGATGGTGGTGTGTGTGTCTGTGAAGAACTAGAGTAAAAGAGCTGCATGGGGAGCCCTATGCAGCTGGTGGAGCTGAGAGTGAAAACAGGGTTCAGTAGGAAGTTTCCTTGTAAGGGTCTACTTTCCAGAACTCGCAGTTGAAGCCAGCTTTTAGTGTGAAAGCTATTTACAAATGTATCATGTACACTGGCTTTTTTATATTGTAACATTTTTTTGAGTTGTGTTACTACCTTAAAACTACTTGTCCTTCGAGGTAGGCTTTTTTCCATATAACAGAAACATGACAATAAATGACCATAATATAACTGGACATTGTGCTACAATGTGAGACATTTATAGTAGGAAGTCAGGGCAGCATGAAATATAGCAGGTACACTCCTCTGGGAATGCTAGGGAGGTTTTTATGAATAGTTTGGAATATACCCATGATCTTGCTTTTATTTCCTTAGTATATGAAATGGGGATTTTTTCCTACAAATCTGGTTTGCAGATTATATAGTATGCTGCTTGTCTCAATAAGAAAGGACATTAATATAGCCTGGATACCCTGTCTTGGGCATCCTCTCTCGAACATAAAGGAGTAAAGTGGACCCTTCTAAGGAGCTAGATTCTGCAAGGGGTATTAAGAACTGTATATGAGAAGGTATTATACATGGCACAAAGTAGTTACGTACTGGCTGAAAGGAGGGAGAATTTACCATAGAGTGTGCAGGAGGGTCCAGAAACAGCCTTGGAGATGAGCCTCGAAAGGGAAGGAGATGGGAATAAAAGGTCAGAGAAAGGGATTTTGAGGATTTTCAGGAGTGAGGAGTGGTAGGGGCAAAGGGGCAACTACACATGACTGGAAGGTTGTGTTCAGATGGTCCATTTAGTATAAACTGAGAAGAAGAACAATGAGAAGGATGTCTGACTTAAGCCATTTAGGGTAGGGCTTTGATGCCTTGCTAAGGAATGTGCACTGTCAAAAGGTGCTTGAGTGATCAGAAACCTAATTTTGGCTGTAGTAAGTGGGCTGGATTGAGAGCCTGGAAGCCAGAAGCCATTTCTTTCTGGAGTCCAGTAGGAGGTGATGGGCACTGCAGTAAGTTGGTGTCTGGAAATGGAAGGCAGTGGTAAAGAACATTGCAAAATCACGATCTTACTTGTTCTACCAGGATGTGGTGACTAATCAATCACAAACATGAATGCTTGCTCAGCCTGTATTTTTTTTTTTTTAAACCTGCCCTTACTACCAGTCTTCAGAGGTAAATAGTGATATAATGTAACATTCAAATTCTTCAGTTCCAGTAATATTTCTATCTTAGCTGAGTGAATGAATTATTTGCAACCTTGACTTGGTGAATGTGTTCTTCTGAGGCCTATTCATAAGGTAATATTTCAAAACTTAAAAGCACACAGACTTTGATTGCAAAATCAGTTCATTTGTCTTATATGAATTTTGGAACTACTAGAACTTTTCATTGCATTGATAATTTAAACAAAACAAAATCAGGGCTCTGGATGTAGTTCAGTGATAGAGCTGTTGCCTAGCATGCATGAGGTTCTAGGCACAATCTCCTCACCACAAACAAAACAAAAAGAAACATAACAAAACACAGCCCTAACCTGTATACTATATATTTACATAGTTTGAGAGTGGATTTTCTTTATTCTGCATGAAATGCACCACACCATTAGATGATGTTTTGTAGAAAGATAAGCCTGCTTACCTAACCCCTTCACGCCAGAACTGTACTGTATGCATCTGTAGATGTCTGCATTGCTGATGCAGGTAGACTTCCATATTGCCTTTTGTCACTGCTGCCTGAGAAGTGTACTGTTGAACAAATAATTGAAATCATTGTGTGGTTTAGGTTGGGTTAGAACTAGCAACAGTATCGGAAACCTGCTCTCCCAACACTGCTGTTATCAGTAGTCACAGGGAACTGCTATACTGAGTTCCATACTAAATTTGATACCATCACAGTTACATTTTAGAGGCACTTGAATTATCTTTGTTTCAGCTAATAATTACTTCCTGGTAGTTGATGATGAAGCAAAACAGGTGGCTGAGAATAATTAGAATTTGACTCTCACTTTATGCTTTCTACATAAAAATGAGCAAGAAAGAAGTGGTTAATCACTGAGAATAAACTTCACATCAGCTGGGTTATGACAAAGTGTTGCCCTTAGAACATGTTTTTTAGACTGTTAACAGCTGTTGTTACCGTACCAGGGTAGCAATCTCAAGTGTAGATGGAGTATCTATTGTCAATGGACCTTTATTTTATTTATGTATTTATATGTGGTGCTGTGAATCAAACCCAGTTCCTCACACATGTCAGGCAAGCTTTCTACCACTGAGCCATAACCTCAGCCCTAGACAGGCTGAATATCTTAGCCTCAGTCCTTTGCTCTATCATTTGTTATGATTTTATTTCTTCGATTAATGGTTTGAGTTGTTAAATGATTGGAGAGCAAACCAGTACCCTGTTATCTTCTTGTCATCATCTTCTTGCCCCAGTGCTGCACTCTCTGTAGACATACAGTAGAGAAATATGCTTGTGCATGTTTGTAAATGGCCCAGTGGAGTGAAAAGCAACCTCTCAGTATGCAAATGAGACTGAACTATATGTTCTTGACACCCTTGTAAAAATATTGTATTTGGAATCTTCTAGCTTGAGAATTTCCCAGAGTGCAGTCAGCTCATACTGGAAGCAACACTTCTTTAGGTGAACACCATTAATATCCTTTGTGCACCTGACCATTCTAGTCTTAGTAGTATTGTAGTGCCAGGTTTCATTAGTTTTCTGTCATATTCTAATGGCCAGATGGCATAGGGAAATGTTTTTCCGTAATTTATCCAGATTTGATTATACATTTTTTGCAGGGATTTTAATTTTGAAAAATAATTAGTGAAAGACTAATTAAGTAGAGATATGTGTCTGTGGGTGGTTTAAATACATAAGTAGCAGTTCTAATCTGTTCAGGATTGCTGGCAATGGATATTTGGAGGAGTTATTATTCTCTGCAACCTCTTTGGCATTTTTTATGAGTTCCTGTCCTACAAAGTATCATATGATTTGTATTTGAAGAAGATAATAACTGAAAATTAACCAAAAACTGGTGGGTTTGAATATTCAGAAGTCCATAATGGATTTTGAAAAGAGAAAAATGAAAGTTAAGAAACTATGCACGTCTGAAAGTTTTGCTTTTGTTGTTTTTCTTTTTCCTCATTGTTTTGATAATTATTAGCCATGTACACCCAAAGAACTCCTAGGTGGTTCTGCATCCCAATTAAAACAGGAGTATTTCCTCACTTTCAGTGTACCCAGTTCTTACTTGTAAATAAGGTCCTTCTCAAGACTAGTTTATTTTAAATTATTGGGTCTTCTTAAGTTTGGAATTAGCAATTCCAGAAGGGTAAATAACATGCTAGAGTCTTAAAGGGGTTGGAGAGAATTCCTGACCAAATTTTGCTTTGTATTTGACTTGCAGGAATTGTGGGGGCACTCCAGTGAAGAAATGGACGAGTGTGTGTAATCATGAAATCTCCTTGCTGACCATCACCACCTGCTCTCCTTAATAAGTGAGAGAGTGGGTTAGGGAAGGAAGAAAAGAGGTCACCATGAAGCTTAAGCAGCGAGTTGTGCTGTTAGCAATACTCCTTGTCATCTTTATCTTCACCAAAGTTTTCCTGATTGACAACTTAGATACATCAGCTGCCAACCGGGAGGACCAAAGGGCTTTTCACCGAATGATGACTGGCTTGCGGGTGGAGTTGGCACCCAAGCTGGACCACACCTTGCAGTCACCATGGGAGATTGCAGCCCAGTGGGTGGTACCCCGAGAAGTGTACCCTGAAGAGACACCAGAGCTGGGGGCAATCATGCATGCCATGGCCACCAAGAAAATCATTAAAGCCGATGTAGGTTATAAAGGGACTCAGCTGAAAGCCTTACTGATACTTGAAGGAGGACAGAAAGTTGTCTTCAAACCTAAGCGGTGAGTCTTCATCTCAGAAGTTGTGCATGCTATTGGTTGATTGACTTAACCAAGGATAGATAAGTAAGAGTGTTTATTTCTCCTCTTTGTATTCTCAGTAAAATGAAGGAAGTAGACTAGAATATCTTTGGAGTTGTGTCTAGTTGTGAAGGTTCTATGATTCTTTGAGTAGAGACAATATATAGGAACAGGTTTTGGTTCCTTTAAAAGACTGAAATTTTTAACAATTAGAGTTATCCTTGATTTCTAATTATCAGATAACTACTGTGAGTCAGGTGTTAGAGATACAAAATGAATTGGTCAGGAAATAAGCAACTTATCACCAAAAAATGTACAGCTAAAGATTGGATAACCATGTTAGTGATGCTGTAGAGTAGGAGTTATCCAGAGTTGTGGGGGGACTAACCAAAGCCCCTGTCAGTGCTGAAGTATTGATTCTTTCACATAGTTTTGTGTTTGAGCAGTTGTAGATTTATAGATTTTTGGATTCCAGAAATGTAAGGGATCAGTGTTTGCCTGGAACTGGGAAGTACATGTTGTATGAAAGATGTAGATATTAGGCAAGTTGAAAAATGTGGTAAACTTTTGGAGAACAGAAATGTCTGATTGGCTGGTAATATGGGAAAAGTAGGGTTACATGGGTAGATCCGATTTCTGTTGAATGTACACCATTTGCCAGGCATTATACCAAGAACTCTTTGTATCTGTAAATGCTTTCATTTGTTGTTTTAATCAGCTTTTTAACCACTATGACCAATAGGCCTGACAAGAACAATTAGAGAAGGAAGAGTATATTTGGGAGTTCACTATTTCAAAAGGCTTAGTCCATAGACAGCCATCTCCATTCTTTGGGGCCCAAGGTGAGGCAGAACAAACATCATGGTAGAAGAGTGTGGTAGAGGAAAGCAGCTCAAGACATGGCACCAGAAAACAGAAAGAGCTCCACTCAACAAGGACAAAATATGTACTGAAGATGCATGCCCCCAGGGACCCACCTCCTCCAGTCATACCCTACCTGCCTACTGTTACCAACCAGTTAATCCCTATCAGGGGATTATTCACTGATTGAGTTAAAATCCTCATAACCCAGTCATTTCATCTATAAACTTTCCTGCATTGTTTCACACATGACCTCATATATAAAACATAACAATTCTTATTTGTAGAATAAGAAACAGTCTTAGTGACTTGACAAGGTCACCTCACAATAAACATTTGTGCTGGGTTTGAACCCAGATCTGTCAGAATTGTGAGCAGCTTATATTCTGCCACATACATAATTTATCTTCAAGCTTCTTTCTTTGCTTTCCTGGAGCACCCATCATCAAAATTGCTAATTTAGTTCTGAAGTGTGGTCCTTGACCTCTCAGATTATAGCTTGAGAGATTAGCTGTTTGAACAAAGTAATGGATAGAAGGCAAACTGAAAATAAAAATCATTTATCTAGAAAGAGATAAGTTATGAGTATTTTGTGTTTAAAGATGAGGAGGTCCTCTCCACACCTACTGCTTGTACATTGGAGAATTAAAGGTGAGATGGAATGTGTCAGAAGATAATGTGCAGTATGGACAGAACTCATGATAATGTGCAGTATGGACAGAACTCATGTTCAGACAAAGTATAAATGAAGGGGAGAGAGGCCAAAATGATAAATAAAGGAGGTAGCAACAGAAAAAGGCATAAAGCCTAGTCACTACTTGCTTGCCTCACGTCTTATTGCTCCTGCAGCCTTCCCATTACTTTCTTCTTCCAGATTGTCCTGAAAATTCTTCCCTAAAATACTTAAATTATCACTTAGCTCCTTAACTTTAAAACATCCAAGGACTTCCCCAACACAAATGATTATTGTGAGGTGACCCACTGGATAACACCTAGCCTCTATAGCCTACTGATCAAGGGCCCCACAGTCTGGTCCTCCGCGATATGCTATGCCTTATCTCCCTTTGCTTTTTGTTCTTATTAAACTGGGTCCTTACTTCCCCCCACCATGCACTGGGCAGCCTGAGCCTACTCCCTTTCCCACCCAGCTTCTGCATGGCCCCTGGAAGAAGGCGTGAACTCAGTCACTGCACATACTGACCAGTGTTTCTTTACACCAGGCACTAGTGAAGGTTGGGGAAAGTGGCTGGCAGGGTTTCAGTACTTTTAGAAATTGACTTCATCCCTAAACAGCCAGCAAAATGCTGTTCTGACCTCCAGGGCCTCACAAGCTATTTAGAACTGCTGTTAAGTGCGAATTGATGTCCTTGGTCAAACTCTGATGTCCTTCACTAGAAGGATAGGAGTGATTTATTGGCAGTTACTGTATGAATTTTGCTGTTTTGTCAGTGACTTAAGATGGATCACTCTGCAGAGAGGAGGGTCTGAATCTGCCAAGTTGAGACAAGCACCTTTCTTTGCAGCCACTGTGGTTTCAGCATTTCTGGAGCCTGGTTGTCCATGTCCTACTCTCAGACATAGAAGGTATGTGTAGGTAGTTGACATATATAGGAATACAGTGACACTTATTTACACATTTTCCCTTACACTACCAAAGTAATTTTTTTTCAACATAGCTGTATCTATTCTGGAAGTAAATTGATTTTTATAGGCAAAAGCTGCAGTTATAGTAGAAAAGGAATAAGAAGGCAGGAGCCCAGAACTAGGTAGAAGTGAATGAATGAATGATCTTAGAGCATATTGAAAGGGACCTTGAAGATTAGCTAACCAAACTATTTTATAGATGAGGAAAATGAGATCCAGAGTTCTGAACTTCCATGTTCTCACAGCCAAAATATGAGCTGAGGATTCAGATGCCTGACTCCAATACATTTTGATTCTTATTCTTTTCCCTTTTCCTTCCCCTCCAGCCCTGGATTTCTCTAGGGTTTTACATTTCTCTGCAGTAGCCTTTAGATGTATTGGGAAGCTCTTTAATGCTTCACTTACTGGAATGTGCTGCATATCACCACATAGCTTCCTTGGACTTCACTGAAGCCCTGAAAAATAAAGTATTCAAGAACTGTCCCCCAGCTTTATGGATAGACTTCACATATAATAGAGAGAAAAGTGTTGTAGTAGTATTTAAAAATTGAAATTTAATTTAGAGGCAGCCAGTGTAAACCTAAGAAACCTAAACAATCATTTGTATGGGGAGCAAAAAATACGTGGCATATGGAACATGCTAAGAAAAATTGTGCCCACCCAAGTGATGATGCTGTTTTCTAACTTGAATGCTTCCTCACTTTGCCTTGAAGACATGTTTTTGGAATGCGATTTCACTTTGTACTCTAAGGTCATTTAAGTTGGAGGCCACTATCTTATAGTACCATTTTCCACTTGTAGTTGTTTCAGCATTGAGAATTTCACTGTCCTTAGTGGAACTGCTTTCCTTCACTTCAGTCTCTTATTTCTATTTTAGAGTTCCATTGTGAAATCTATTAGGTCCCCTTTGATTCAGAAATGCAAGTGAGCAGTAGAAGTCATAGGTGAATTAAATATTAAGATATTGTATCCCTCTACAACTAAAACAATTTTTTAAAATTCTTTTAAGATGATTAGTATAAATATGCTGGTTTTCTTATCCTTTGTTTATGTCATGTAGGTGGCATAAAATTCATCAGAGTGTAGTTTAAGATGAAAGATACCTTTGAAATGACCTCCCGGGGCTGGGGTTTGTGGCTCAGTGGTAGAGTGCTTGCCTAGTATGAGTTAGGCATTGGATTCGATCCTCAGCACTACATAAAAATAAATAAATAAAATAAGGTATTATGTCCATCTACAACTAAAAAAATATATTAAGAAAGAAAGAAATGGTCTCCTGCTCTAACCCTAATATTGTAGATAAGGAATCTGAGACCTAGAGCACAGAGGGTTTTACTCAAGGTTACCCAGTCAAGTAACAAAGAGCCACTTTCAGCTCTTGCTGCCAGGCCAGAAGGGTTATTCAAGCAGCTTTCTTCAGAATTACTTTTGCCTTCTCACTTAAAAAAATTAAGCAGTGTCAGGACTATTTTTCCCAAAGAAATTTAAACTTCTTTTATAAGCCTTATCACAGCCATTCTGGTAAGTGAAGTTTTTCCTTTCTTTCTTTCTTTCTTTTTTTTTTTTTTTAAAGAGAGAGAGGGGGGGGGGAGAGGGAGAGAATTTTTTAATATTTATTTTTTAGTTCTCGGCAGACACAACATCTTTGTTTGTATGTGGTGCTGATGATCGAACCCGGGCCGCACACATGCCAGGCGAGCGCGCTACCACTTGAGCCACATCCCCAGCCCTCCTTTATTTCTTTAGTTCACTATTTAGTAGACGTTTATTAAGCACTAACTCTAGGTTTAACACTATTCTGGCAATATACAGATGGTTCTTGCCTTCCAGAAAATTACTATGTAGCTGTATTTTAACTACATTGAAAGCCTGTTAGATGGGTAACATTAACATCTTCCATGTTTTAGTCATTGAATGATTGCTGGGGCAGATAGGGAATTCTGGTTTCCTTCTTTACCTAATCTTTAAGCCATCTACCAACAATTGGGTGCTAGCCCAGAATTGTTCTTGAGGTTGACAGAGAAGGTGTCAAAGGAGCACAGTCAGGTTTGCTCTGAATGTGTATTCTACCTCTTGTGCTGTCACCTCTGGTACTGGTATAATTCATGTCAACATTTGTGCATCCCATTCTCTTTGCAGGTATAGCCGAGACTATGTGGTGGAAGGGGAGCCATATGCTGGTTATGATAGACACAACGCAGAGGTAGCAGCCTTTCATTTGGACAGGTACGTGTAATCCCAATGGGTTATGTTCACTTTGTTTCCTTTCCAGAATCTCTCTTGAAGAGAACTGTGAACTCCTCCTAAGTGTGACACTTTAATAACTTGGACTTGTTACCTATTTTAAATAACTGGTTGACTAAATTCCATTATGTTTGTGTGAGTCCCTCATATGGGTGACACCAGGAACACCGAAGTAAATTTTAACTTCAGAGTTTTACTTCCTTTTACCTCATGCCATTCCTGGCATTCCGTTTGTCATTATCATGAGTGAAGATCTTGATAAATAAAATGGCAGGATGAAAACCAAATTTTTGAATTCAGATGTCTGAATTATTATTGGTCATTAATAATATGACTCATCCCCACATACTGGCAACATACAAACTGAAATATATTCTCTTGTATTTTTAAAATTTATATATATAAATATACAAATATATATGTGTGTGTTTATGTGTATATATAAATATGTATGTGTGTATGTATGTATAAATACGTGTATGAAAAACATTAACTGCCTCAAAAAACAGTAATTAAAAAATAGATATGAATTCTATAATCAGGAAAATTAATAGATTTTTCTCAGTAGGTTTCTAGTCAGAAACCTGTTAGCTGAGGTGTCTAGTATTCCAGTTACTCATCTCACCAGTTCTGTGTGGCATATTGACTGACTTTAAATGAAATTATTCACAATATTTGTTTAAAAATAAATCTATAAGGGAACCATAAAGAAATAAGGGTGGATTTTTTTTTCTATTAGGAAGGATTTTTTTACATGTTTCTACAAATCTGTGTATACCCTAAAATTTTATTAGAAAATGTGTCAAGAACACAGGAAGTTAACTGAATAGGAATTATCAACTGCTAATAAATATGGGAGTTCTTTCTTACTAGAAATCTTAAAAACTAATTAAAACAATGGATTACTATCTTTACCTGCTGAAAATGGCAAAGATTTTTTTTAAAGGGTAATACTTTATTGGCAGGAATAGATATGCTCCTTATAAAATTCTTAATTTCAATCTTTCTGTTAAGAACGCTGGCATTTTATATCAAAGTATTAAATGTTCATACGCTTTGAACAAATAATTACCTTTTTATGCATATATCTAAGGTATTTCTAAGAAACTTTCTAATATGGAAAAACTCAAATAAATATTTATAATACCATGAATTTGGACAACATCTTTTAAGACCTAATGACTGAGAGTTGGGTAAATCTTATTCCTCACATTATGGCACACTGGAATCAAGCTGTCCAAGACTTTGTTTATTTGCCTATTTTCTTCATTCCCAGCTCCTTTCTTGTTTCCCATTTGTTGAACACCAGCAGGTCATGCAGAACATCCTTTCCCCATTTCCAGAATAATATTTATATTACCCAATATGGGAATTTTTGTTAATATATATAAAGAGGTATATCATTATTCTTTTATTTTTTATTTTTCCAGCTCTGGCAAGTTTTAATTTTTCACACAGTGAGCGTAGAGTGAGATAATCTTCGTACAGAAATAGTTACTTTTGATAACAATTGAACATAATATTGTAGTTTATGATTTGTGCTTTGGAGTCTTGTATTTGAAAGTTCTTTCCTACCTTAAAGCCAGATATTCGGGAGTTCATAACCCACTTCAGTCTAATGTATGAAATATGATATGTCAAGAGCTTTGTAATGTTGTGAACAACCAATAAAAAAAAAATCACACACACACGCAAAAAAGCCAGATATTCTCTGGACAACCCCTATTTCTTTGTTAATTGCTCCTAATCAGCCCCAAGTGCTGCTGTGATACTGCCCTTCAGCACTAGACTGCCTGCTGTCCTTTGGCCAGCAATGGTCAGTGGGCAGAAAGACTTCATCCCACCCTTTTTCTTGTGTTCATGGCTCCTGACACTTCTGCTTTGGTTTTGCTGTTTTTCTATTACACTCAGATTTAGATACCTTCTTGGGCCTTAGGGGTTTTCTCTCAATTTTCATGTTACTTTGCAGGTCTTTTGGTCTCTTTGCTTTTGTGGCTTTTCTAAGATTAGGTTTAGGGCAGAATCAGCAACCTAAAGAGTGGATTATTTATTACATAACCACTTTTAAAGTCTTTCTAATGATATGGATGGGGAAGGTTCCTGATGCAAGAATGAGTACAAAGGATGCAAAGCTGTACACAGTGTAACTCCATGATATGCACATACTTGTAAGAATGTTTATACATACATGTGTGAGCATATGTAACTCAGAATATGTTTTTACATGCATTTTAAACTATATAAGTATGAGCTCAATGGTGTGTGCATATGTGTAGTATGTGTTTATACATTCATGGAAAGGAAAAATGCTTACATGCCAAAATGTTATTTCTAGGTTGTGGAATTATGGATGATCTTTATTTTCTTCATTATTAATTTTTTCTATGTTCCAAATTCTGCCCCTCTAATTTTTCTTCAGGGAGTGTGTGTTTATTAGCCAGGAAGATTAATTTATTTGAAAAATGATTGTTTTTAATCTTAAGGTTTTTAATCATAGTGCTTTTAGACCATTGATGACAGAGACCTCCAGATGTTCTGTATTTAAGTTGTCCTGTGTTTATTCTTTTAGGTCAATTTGCATAGTTTTATCAGTGTGCTATTTTACTCAAAGTTTTGAACCCATGTATGAGTTTAGGCCCAGTTTTTTTTAATACTTTCTTTATGTTTAATTTTTATTATGAAAAATTTCTAACAGTAGAGCGAATAGCATAATGAACTGATATACCCATTCCTTACACTTAACAACTATTCACATTTTGCCCAGCTAGCCTAATCTTTTTTGCTGAAGTGGAAAATAAATTACATCAATCTTAAAATTAAACTCCTAAATATATGTACCTCTAAAAAACAAGATTTACCTGCCTACCTAAATCTCTTCACACATCTAACATGATAAACATAATTTTTGAGACTGTTATTTATTTAAAATACATCTTTTAAGAATTTTTTTCTTCTCTTCTTCAACCTTCCAAACCAGGATTCTGGGTTTCCGCCGAGCCCCCTTGGTGGTTGGCAGGTTTGTTAATCTACGGACAGAGATCAAGCCTGTTGCTACGGAGCAGCTGTTGAGCACCTTCCTAGCTGTAGGTAAGAAGATTATAGAGGATATTTAGATAGGGGAACAGTTAATAAGTTAAATGGGGCATCATCAGCAAGGAGGTTCACATTTCTTAGGACTTGAAGAACTTGAGAGAACACAAAAACAAATAAGCAGAGCCAGGTGCTATGGCACTCACCTGTAATCCCAGTGACATGGGAGATTGAGGCAGGAGGACCACAAGTTCAAGGCCAGCCTCAGCTATTTAGCAAGGCCATCAGCAACTTAGCGAGACTCTGTCTCAAAATAAAAAGGGCTAGGGATGTGACTCAGTGGTAAAATGCCCCTGGGTTAAATCCCCAGTAATAAATAAACAAACCAAATAAACAACCTAGTCTTGGGTTGGTGGAGGAAACAGATTTAAAGGTAAATGGAAATGAAATTTTGCCCAGTGCATACCTTCTTGCCTCTGAAGTAGAAAGCAAGGTCAGTTACTAATAGTGAAAGCAGTGATAATTTTATTTCTTCCACTTGGTCTCACAGTTAAGTCTCATTCAAAATTTGGCCTAAATAAGTTACTATTTACATATCATTGGCTCACTTATTTTTTATATACATGTGTTTTCTTGGCAGCTGTCTTCTTATAATTGAAGAAAGTTTAAGGTAACTCTGTAAGAGGATCAGATATTCCCTTGTAGGGTTGCATTTGGGCCTGAAACATCACCACCACCTCCTCCTACTCTGCAAGGGTCAGCTTAACTCATTGTGCATGAAGCTAGCTATGATGTCTCTGGTTTCCATTATCTCACTCTGAAATGAGGGATCTAACATTCTCACTCCCAGTCCCTTTGTGGGCATGAAGAGAATGGGGAAAAAAATCAGAGGTGCTATGGTTTCTTGTTTCAACCTCTTCATAGTGACTTTTCTTCAGTGATGTTGTATTCTCCTTTGTGGCATGAATGTTGAGTCAGATATTACAAAATGAGACAGATATTATAAAAGTCCTTGCTTTTTAAAAAAATTTTGTATTTGTTTCAACTAGTTATACAGTAGAATGACAGTAGAATTATTTATGCACTTTGATGTATCATACATACATGACATATACTTTCTCATTTTTCTGAGTGTACATGTTGCAGAATCATATTGGTCATGTAGTCACATAGATACATACAGTAATAATGTCGTTTCATTCTACTATCTTTCCTATCCCCACATCCCCTCCCCTCCCCTCTACCTAATCTAAGGTGTTCTATCTAGGGTAATCTCTTCTTCCCTGGTGCCACTTCCCCCACTTTATTGTGAATTAGCTTATGCATATTAGAGAAAACATTTGGCCTTTGGTTTTGTGGAATTGCTTGTTTCACTTAGCATGATATTCTCCAGCTCCAACCATTTATTGGAAAATGCCATAATTTCACTCTTCTTTAAAGCTGAGTAACAGTCCGTTGAGTATATATATCACCTTTTCTTTATCCATTCATCTATTGAGGGACACCTAAGTTGGTTCCATAGTCTAACTATTGTGAATTGAGCTTCTCAATATAGTATGCTGATTGTAAGTCCTTTGGGTATAAACCAAGGAGTGGGATATAACCTGGTCTTGTCACTATAGTATGCTGATTTTAAGTCCTTTGGGTATAAACCAAGGAGTGGGATAGCTGGGTCAAATAGTGGTTCCATTCCAAGTTTTCTGAGGAATCTCCATACTGCTTTCCATAGTGGTTGCACCAATTTGCAGTCCCACCAGCAATGTATGAGTGTGCCTTTTTCCCCACATCTTCGCCAACATTTATTGTTGCCTGTATTCTTGATGATTGCCATTCTGATGCTGAGAGCCATTACCAAGTAGGAATGATGTATGGCATGACCCAGGTCATTTGCAGTGACATTGCATGTAAGGTGACCTTGCTCAAGGACCAGGGTGGATCCGGGTTTAGGGTGGATCAGGGTTTAGGGTGCTCCTTGGGTTTGGGGTGCTCCTTGGGTTTAGGGCGGTTCCAGGTTTAAGGTGTATCCTGCTGGGAATAGGGCGGATCCTGCTGCCTCAGGCCCACCCGCTCCTTGAGTTCCCGTTGAGTTCTCGAGGGATTCAGAGAGTATTTTGGGATGCAGAGCCCAGTGGCCTGTACGGGGAAAGAACCCGCGACCTTGGCAATGCTGCAGTCTGGCTGGGCACAAAATCACGAGCCACCACACACCTTGTAGATTCAAACAGCAACTCTTTATTCCCGAACTCACACTGGCACTCTACACACACGTTCTGGGGAAATCCACGCTTCCACTGGGCTCTGCATCCCAAAATACTCTCTGAATCCCACGAGAACTCAAGGGGAACTCAAGGAGCGGGCGGGCCTGAGGCAGCAGGATATGCCCTATTCCCAGCAGGATACACCTTAAATCTGGAACCGCTCTAAACCCAAGGAGTGCCCTAAACCCTGATCCACCCTAAGCCCTGATCCGCCCTAAACCCAGATCCTTGAGCAAGGTCACCTTACATGCAATGTCACTGCAAATGACCTGGGTCATGCCATGCATCATTCCTACTTGGCAATGGCTCTCAGCATTCTGACAGGAGTGAGAGGAAATCTTAAGAGTAGTTTTGATTTGCATTTCTCTAATTGCTAGAGATGTTGAACACTTTTTCATGTATTTGTTAATTAATTATATTTCTTCTTCTATAAAGTGTCTGCTCAGCCCTTAGCCCATTTATTGATTGGGTTATTTTTTTTATTTTTATTTTTTTCGGTGATAAGATTTTTGAGTTCATCGAAGTACACATGGTGAAGATTTTCTCCCAATCTGTAGACTCTCTCCTCACTTTATTGTTTTCTTTGCTGAGAAGAAGCTTTTTAAGTCAAGTCCATCCCACTTATTAATTCTTGATTTTACTTCTTGCGCTTTAGGAGTGTTATTAAGGAAGTCAGATCCTAGGCCAATGTGGTGAAGATTTGGGCCTGTTTTTTCTTCTGTTAGGCATAGTGTCTCTGTTCTAGTGCCTAAGTCTTTGATCCACTTTGAGTTGATTTTTGTGCAGGGTGACTGATGAAGGTTTAATTTCATTTTACTATGTGTGGATTTCCAGTTTTACTAGCACCTAACCCTAATAGGCTATCTTTTATCCAGTGAATGTTTTTGGCACCTTTGTATAGTATCTCATAACTATATTTATGTGGGTTTGTCTCTGTGTCCTCTATTTTGTACCATTGGTCTACAAGTCTACATGCCAATACCATGCTGTTTTTATTACTGTAGCTCTGTAGTATAGTTTAAGGTCTGCTATTGTGATTGGTTGGTATCGTGATGGTCTCCTGCTTCACTTTTCTTGCTAAGGATTGCTTTAGTTATTCTGGGTCTCTCATTTTTCCAAATAAATTTCATTATTGCTTTTGCTATTTTTATGAAGAATGTCATTGGGATTTTAAGAGGAATTACATTAAGTCTGTAGAATGCTTTTGGTAGTATGGCCATTTTAACAGTATTAATTCTGCCTATCCAGGAACATGGGAGATCTTTCCATCTTCTGAGGTTTTCTTTAATTTCTTTATTTAGTGTCATGTAGTTTTCATTATAGTGGTCTTTCACCTCTTTTGTTAGATTGAGTCCCAGGTTTGTTTTTTGTTTTTGTTTTTGTTTTGAGGCTATTGTGAATGAAGTAGTTTTCTTAATTTCTGTTTCAGTGGACTCATTGCCGATGTACAGGAATATGTTTGATTTATGGGTGTTGATTTTATATCCTGCCTCTTTGCTGAATTCATTTATTAGTTCTAGAAGTTTTCTGGTGGAATTTTTTAGATTCTTCTAGATGTAGAATCATGTCATCAGCAAATAGTGATAGTTTGAGTTCTTCTTTACTTATTTGTATCCCTTTAATTTCTTTCTTTTTTTTTTTTTGAGAGAGGAGAGAGAGAGAGAGAGAGAGAGAGAGAGAGAGAGAGAATTTTTAATATTTATTTTTTTTTTTAGTTCTCGGCGGACACAACATCTTTGTTGGTATGTGG